AGAGATACAAATATATAGGACATTTTTAGAATGTGGATTGAGCACCAGGACTGCTCCCTTGAGGCGCAGCTCCAGATGCCTTTGTGAATTTTTATTTTGAGATAGGCTCTCACCAAGTCACAGTCCTTCCGACACAGCCTCCCAGATGGTGGAATTATTGGCGTGTACCGCCATGCCTGGCCAGTGTCTCTGTGTTTTGTGTTATTAATGATTGTTCCTTTGCTTTGCCTCCCTGGTTGAACCTATAACCATATTTAGAAGGTGTTTGCAGCAATTGGCTTCATTTAGAGCAACGTTACCCAATAGAACTTTCTGAACTGGTGAAAATACACCCTACCTACTTTGTGAAGCTACTGACAACAGATAAAATTTAGTTTCAAGCTAATTTTAATTATTTATATAGCCAAAACTGCTTAAAGAAAGGTACCGTATTAGTCCATGTAACTCTAAGTCTATTCAAGTGAACTACTGTGGCTCCCCACCTGCTGGATGACCCATACACTGAGTCTATGGTCTCCAAAATGGAATGAATTATAATGGACAACAGAGGTTAAGAGTAGAAAATGCTACCGAGAGCGAGGCAGCCCTTGAAAGAGACAGAAAGGAACCTGGAAAATGGTTTGGCAACATGCGACCTTCTCAAAGGAAGTTTTATAGAGCAAAATCACAAGGTGGGTCCAATGTGGGACAAAGCTATGAGAAACCAATACGACCACAAGCATAGCCATGTAGCTGATGCTGATCCGACGGGGAGGCAGGCTGTGCTGAAGCAGGTGCAGAAAGCACAGGGCCTGTCATGTGGAGATGAGTCAGGAGGCCCTGGTCACCCACGTGGGGAACTGGTACCTATGGAGAACATCAACGGCAGTAGGCTGCTTATTCTTTGGGGAGGTGTGTAGGCCTTTTCATCCTGTCTTCAAGCGCAGGCCTGGACTTTGATGGATGTGTCTGCAGTCAAAGTTGTGATGCGTCCTCATCTTCGGCACTGATTCCCCCAAAGCCTGGGCTTTTTCTGTCCATAACAAAGCCATTGCAACCTCTCTTCCTTAACATTTATTTATTTATTTATCGGCTGAACTGGGGATGGAATTCAGGTCCTTGTGCTTGCCAGGCAAGCCCTTATTCTACTGAACTATCTCCCCGGCCCCTCTTCCTTAAGTTTTGAAAAAAAAAATGCTGTGTGTTTACTTGCATTACATTTTGGGTTTTTAAAATCTGTTTCAGGTATTTAAAAATATTTTCATCAAACAGATCATAAATTTGATCCCAATCTGAGTAACTTAGTGACCTAGTGAGACCTTGTCTCAAAGTAAAATGAGCAAAGGAACTGGGGAGATAGCTCAGGGTGAAGGCCCTGCATTCAAGACCCAAGTAGAGAAAAAATGGAACCCCACATTGTAAGGAATTTTGCACTGCTTCCTACACAAGGGGTATTCAACACAAAGCATCAGTGGTACAGGCCACAGGTGACAGGGACCACTCAGAAGATAGAAATAGCAAGGGGTGAGAGAAGGAGAAATTGTATTTACAAGGGCAAGACAAATAGCACCTAATGAGCAGGCTCATTCTTAGCTGCAGATGATATCAGCAGTGCAGAACTATGGCAACGAGCAAGAAACGCCAATAGGTGGGATATTCAGAGCCTGAAGCTCGAGGAAGGCTGGCTAGTCTGGGCCTCTCTAAGTGTGGCGTAGAGCTTGGTTATTGCACCTTGGTGCCAACACCTCTAATGACTCAGAATCCCAGGACACTCACAGTTTTACTTGAAGTGAGTTACTTGGCTGCAAGAGATCTTTATTTCCCTAACTGCAAATAGTGGCAATAATTTACACTACAGAGACATACATGCCTCTTGCCAACCCCCAGGAAGTGGGAAGGTAAGAGAGGGAAAACTTAGCAAGTGCTTAGCATATTTGGGGCACATTGTGCTCCAGTTGGGTGGCAGGGAAATTGAGATATTAGACTAATTATCCTCATCCATTAGCAATAAATGTAGCAGGTGACTCAGCTTGGATCTGAAAGCAGACAGATGATTAGCGGAGGAGTAGCAGCAACGGCACCTGCCCATGGAGGCACCGAATGAAGACAGAACCAAGAGCCACGAGCTCACAGCTCGTGGTGTCCTCAGATCACAAAAGTGGATCAGTGTGTTTGGGCTGCGTCGGTAGCACTTGTAGTTAGAAACAAGGGACATTGAAGAAGACGTGTATGTGTATGTACACACATGCGCATGTGTGGGTATTTAACCACATATAGACTTGGGAAAAGTGCTGGAATGTGCAATGTGTGTCCAGTCCGTCTGGACTGCATGGCGTATCAGAGTCTGGATCTTAGCATGATATGGCAACAAGTATCTATCGTGTGACCAAGTGACAACCAAGTTGTGGTATTTAAATCATTTCTGCACAGAAATTTCCCTGTTATCAAACCTACTTCCGACATATACTTGGGGGATTTGTACAGTTTAATATCTAACTTTAAGGAGCATAAAGGCAATTCATTGAAGATGGGAAATCATTGTTATAGTTCACAAAAGGCAAAAGGAATATATTATTCAGACAAAAAATGACAATTAGTTGTTTATTTCATTTAGATATTCTATTATATGTTTGGGAGACATTACGTTATTTATACATTGGTTTATTTTTAAGTTATTTGTGTATTTCCTTATTTCATTACTCATTTATTTGCAAGGTCCCACAGTGTTGCTCGGGATGGCCTTGCACTCAGGATCTTCCTGCCTCAGCCTCCAGGTTAGTGGGAATTATAGCAACAGGGCCTCAGGCCCAGTTTATCTTGTAGATTATTATGAGCATATTTTATGTGTTCAATCTGTGACTAAGTTTGTCCCTTAGTACCTTTCCCAGGTGATTTTTACCTCTCCTGGGGATCAGCGAGCCTTATCCCCGCCCAAGGAGTGGGACCAATCTATTTGAAGTTCACGTTTGAGCTTGATTCACACTGGGTCACATATTATTCCTTTGTGCCCTGGGCCGATTAAGAGTAAAAGTAATTTACTTGCTTCCTCAAACATAAAAGGCTACTTTCTGTGGGATGCTGTGGGACCGGCACCTCCTGTACTGGGCAGTCCTCAGGCCTGTGCTTGCTGGGCTTGGGCACAGGGTCTCTCTCAGCTGCCGCAGGCTGACGTGGAGCGTCTCGGTCGCGTGCCTCAGCCTCCCCAGTTGCTAGCGTTACAGACCTGCGCCACTGCCCGGGGCGGGGGTGGTAAAATAGGAGCTCTGGCACTTTTTAAGCTTCATTCCAAGCCTTAAATATGACACTTTTTAAGAGTATTTGCATAATTTTTAGTGTGCATACACAAGGGTTCGGCGCAGAGAGCTAGGATTTCAATGAAAAGAAACCAATTTCTGTCAGAAAGGAATGTGAATAGTATGTGATTTTAAATAAGTCTAAGTTGTTTAACAATACTTAAAAGGTCTAACAGTGATCTGTCAGTAAAAATTTTGAAAGCAGTTGACTCAATAAATAAATGTGTGCAGTATTCTACCACTAACCTACATCTCTGATCACAGTGCAATTTCCCCGGAATTTGTTAAACCTTGTTTTACTTTTTGTGGTACCAGGGATCGAACTCAGGACCTTATGCTTGCCAGGCAAGCACTTATTCCATCCATCTATCTCCCCAGCCCCAGCCCCTGAATTTGTAACAATAGGCATTACTAAGCTTTTAGCCTGACTTTGAGAAAGTGAAAAATTAAATAGAAAGTCTGTTTTCCTTCACTCTTTACCTACAAGGATTTACTTACCAACAAGTCTAGCTTCTCTTAAAGCTTTTATAGCCCCTCATGAAATACCAGAGGGGGCGCGGGGTCATTCAGGGTTCTGGGCAGGGGCACGCTGAAACTGGTTTTCAAAAAAGTGGGGATGGACAGTAAGAAGACAGTGGGGTGGGCACCGAGGTGAAGCTGAGAAGTGATTTTTAAGTTTGCTTGGCTTTGCTTTCGCAAGATGAAAATAAAGCAAGGGCGGAGTGGGAGACGCGGAAAGACTGCCTCTGTCCCCAGCAGAGACAAGGCCCTTCCCACGCTGCCCCCAGGGGTGCGGGGCGGCCGAGTCTCACCTCCCCTAGATGCAAAGCAAGCTGCGCTGGAGTCACCAGGCAGCCTGGGTTGTGGCGGCAAAGCTGCTGACTTAAAGGAGAAGCAGGGATGCCGATGACCTCAGGCCAGTGTGGAGCCCTGGAGTCGCGGGCCCTCTGCCAACTGCGCGCCCCGAGACTAGCCGCGGCGGCCGGCCCCGCGCGCAGGGGAGAGAGCTGAAGACAGGGCAGGTGCAGGGCGCCCAGGCGAGCTTGCTCCTAAGGCCATGCAGAAGGGTCCCCGCAGAGCTACCGGCCAAGCACCGTCCCTGCCAACCCTGCAGGGTCTCGGCGTCTGCAGAGAAAGCTGCGCCAGGTAAATCGGAAAGTTCCTGCAGCTTCTGCTCAGGCCGCCTGCGCTGGGCCGTCGGCGGGCGATTCCAACCTGACATGGGCGCCTCCGCCTGCTTGTTTCTTCGTCGCCGAGCTGCGGCACCACGCCCTGTCCCTGCCCACCGGTCTCACCTGGGCTGCGTCCCTCGCTCCTCCCCCTCGCCCCTCCCGCCTGCCGCACCCGGCCGCCGTCTAGCTGCAGCCCAGGGCGCCCCTGCAAGAGGCCGCGCAGACGGAGGGCCGAGCTGGGCCGAGCCGCCTCCCTTGCTCCCGCGGCCGCTTCCCCTTTTTCTTTTCCCAGAGAGACGCGTAAACACCCGCACTTTTCTTTTCCGCGGAGCCCTTGGGGTCCCCGCCTGAGCTCGAGTCCGAGTCCGGCCCGCCCGAGGGTTTGAGTCCCATTCCTCCCTCCGGCTCCATCCGAGCTCGGGTCAGGGGCTGCGGCATCCAAGTCGGTGCTGGCCCGGGGCCAGGTGACCTCGCGCAGCGAGTCTCTCCCCAGGGTGGGGGGCTGGCATCTGCCGGCGTGGGGGGTGGGAGGAGGGGTCCGAGGAGCAGGCAGGGCTGTTGTTAAAACAGTTTCTTACCGTAAGAGGGAGTTCAGACATAGATCTTCCAGTTAATCACATAACAAACTTAGCTCATCGCAATAAAAGCAGCGCGAGCCCGGCGGCCCTCGGAGGCGCGGACTCTGGCCCGGACCGTTCAGCCGGCGCTCGCCGCCCAGGACCATGCGGGCCCGCAGGCTCCTGCCCGTCCTGCTGCTGCAGCAGGTCCTCCTGCACCTCCTGCTGCTGCCCACCGCCGCGCCCGTCGCAGGTCAGTGCCCGGACCCCGGCCTCCCCGCCAAGCTTCCCTTCTTTCTAGCTGCCGGCTGCCCGGCTGGCCCAGCGTGGTGTGGGGCGCGGGTTGGGTTTCACCACCTCTCCTCTGTGGACCTCGGGGCTGCAAATCCTTTGCAGAGCTCGCCTGCAGAGATCCCCGCAGGTCTGCTCTGCCCGCACCGCGCCCAGCCCTGCTCCCTGAACCCCACGTCCCAGATGCGGGACAGAGCAGAGCACCCGCGCTGGCCGGGACTTTGTGCATTTAGCGAGTTGGAAGCCAAAGCATCGGGTGTGCAGAGGGAGGTGGTGACTGGCGGGACTCAGGCCACCCAAGGGCTGATGTTCAGAGCCAGGTCACAGCATCAGGCAGAGCTTCACGGAGCAGCGGAGGAGACCCAGTACTACGCAAATGCTCCAGAGAGAAAGCATCTTTGCGGAGCTCCTGCTGCTGGTGGCGGTGGTGTGGGTTCCTCCTCTCAGTAAGGCAGCGCTCCCCTGAGGGGCAAAGCCCTGGGACACGGTGAAGGCCGAAGGCTCCCCGCTCCCCACCCCTGCTTCTCCTTGGGCTTGCAGGTTGCAGAGGCGTCACTGTGTTCCTGGTGGCTGGGAGTTGAGAGCCCTCTTCTGCTGCTTTGGGAAGTTTGCTCTTGTTACCGGGACAGGAGGAAACATGTGCATCTGATTGCGTTATCGCTGTGGTGGCGGTGGCTGGGTCCTCCTGGAGGAGGCCGACGTCCAAAGCAGGCACAGGGGAGGCAGAGAGGGGCAAATGCCCAGGCGGCAGGCAGGCTCTTGGGCTACTTAGGACAGAGAGGACTGTGTCTTCTGAGATAAGCTAAATATGAAATTGATCAGACCTCCGATCTTGGCTCGGATGTAATAATACAAGGGTGGTAAACTCTGAGAATTTGCTAAATGGTAAGAAAAGTCATCTCACCCATTTGCCTTGTTTCTGTTTGGGGACATGGCCCTTTGGGGCTATGACAGTTTGGAAAACAAGTAGGTAAGATTTAAAAGCAAGTAGATAAGATTTCTCTGCAGAGATGAAAAAAAAAAAACTGAATTCAAATCTACGGCATCGTCAGGGTTCAGATGCCCCACACTGAAAGCCTTTCTTACAGACATTACTGGTGTAGGGAATTCTGGGCGTAAGTTGAAATCATGGCTAATACTTTGATGGATTTCCTTCGAAAGCATTGAACTTGCTGTTGTGAATAACACAGTCACCTGAAGTCATCCAAACCAACGCAGGCAGGCTGTAGTGCTGAAAATTCAAACGGCAGATCGGCCATCGACAGTGTCTATCTGTTTCTGGCACGCATTCCCAGGTTTTGGCAGGAGACAAGCACTTGCAGTTACATTTCACTTTGGCTAACGCTGAAGTGACTGTGTTCCTGGAGTATAGGCAGAAAGCAGCTTCAGAGAGAGAGAGCTGGCAGGCAGGCAGGGCCAACTGGGAATCACAGATCTATGCTATGAATAATTCCTGAAGTGGGTAATACTAAAATTGTCACAGCAAGAGGGCCCAACTTTCTTTGGGTGGCAAGATTATTTGGAGAGCTTTTGATAAAAATATTATCACTGAAATGGAAAATCAGGAGTAGCCTTTTTAAGCATATGGAGAGGATTTGTTCTTTTTAAACGTCTTCTAATATTGAGCATTGGGAAGTTTTGTTGTAGTTGCTGTTACTGGCTTTGGTTATATTTTTGTTGGTTCTGTCATAAAAGCTAGCACAGTGTTAGGAAAGCAGTGGACATTGTAATAAGTTGCAAACTACTATGAGCAGAATATATTATGGAAAAGTCTATATTAAAAGTTTTCTAAAGAAATATTCCATATGCTTGACCCAAGTCACCCTCAAAGATTAGTATTATTTACTCCCACTTACATTGAAAACAAAAATTTTCTGTAACAAAAGAAGCATTAAACAAGTACCTCTTCTCTAAGAGCCTTTGAAGAATGTAAAGTTGAAGGAGGAAAGAAATCTGTATTTGTTGAGCAGCTACTACAAACCAAGTTCTAAAGAAAATCTTACTTGAGTCTAGTAAGATTGGCATTGGTGGGTTTATGTTATGATGGACACTTGAAGGTTGAAGGCTTTAATTATCTTCTTACCTTAGTTAGCTAAGGAAAAGAGGTTAAGATTCCTACCAAATCCATGTGCGTGAAATGCTGCAGCCAGTACCAGTGAAACTGACTGAAACTTCCTCTGGAGAATCATTTGGCTAGAGAATAGTAAGTGTCCTCCATACTGGAAGTTCTGTGGTTGAGCGCTCATTCCCAGAGGAGTGAATCAAGTCATGTGTGGACAGGGTTTGATGCTCACGTTTATTATGGATAGATGAATAGAGGTGAGCTTGGCATCTGAGGTAGGAGGTCACAGGTGGCCGCAGTGCCACGGTGGGCAGTAGGAGGGATGCCGCAGAAAGACCCCACAGAGCAGGAGAAGGAGTCTGACAGGGTAGGTGTGTTTGACACCCATGGAAGTGCAACCTGTGGCTGAGAAAGCAAGGGGAGATCAAATAGCATCTTGAAGGTCACACTGAAGCACAGTGCTCCAAAGTGAAGACTTAGTGAACAAGCGAGCCACTGGACACCAGCGGTGCCTCAGAGTGGCACCTGGGGTTGCTATATGGGGAAGGTTGTGGGCAGAAATGGACAGAGAGAACGTCAACCAGGGTGAGGTCTCTGGATCGGAGTCCTTCAGCGAGGGAGTAGAAAGGAGACCAAGGGGAAGAGCTAGGAAGGCTCTAAGCTCACACTCTCACCTCATTTTGTAAGTCCTCATTTCTATAAGCTCTTGGAAGATACAGCAGTGTTGCTTCTCGAACACCAATAGCTGGTTTACACCTAAATCGTGTCATTCTCCTTGACACCTTCATTTGTCATACAGTTACCTCACTGAAAGAAAAGGAGTTGGTCACCTGGCCACTTAGTGAAATTCAAGCCCTAGCTTGATGACAGGCAGGACTTAGACTTCTCCTTGTGATTCCTGCCTCTGAGGAGTTTCAAATCTCCAGTCATGACCATCTCCTTCCATTAATTATTTGGATACTTTCATCTTAACATTTGCTTTTCCAACTGTTAGCCACTAATCATCCGGGTAGCTTTCTCAGAATTGTGGAGCCAGATTCTTGCTTCTTTCCACACTCTGAAAACCCTTTCCTTGCAGGATTTTCCTTTGAAGTCAATAGGTCATCTGCACAGAGGAAAATATATGAGGTACTGAGAGCAATGAGTGTGAGGCTGAACAACCAGGGGGAGAAATGTGTCTTTCTTCAAACACCTTGATCCATTTGACCCCACTTTCTGGCTGTGGGTTTTCAATAGGATCCTAATGAGTTCAATTCGGCAACAGGGAGCTCAGGCTCTTTAGGAAACATGGCTCACAGCACACGTCTCCATAGTGGGAGAACTTGAAGGAAGGAGTCATAATTTCAACTTCAGGAAAGCATGACAAATTTGCCATGATCTCCCATCCTTTGATTTCATTTCAATATTTTGTATACGAACTATAATGAGTGGTGATGCAGAAAATATATAGGAACCAAGCTGATCCAATCATCATTTCTTCAGTGTTCTGCCCAAAGAAAGACTGGCTCTCAAGTGTTTTCAGTAAACCAAACATCAGTTGTTAGTACACGTGAAAGAGAAAGTTGAAACTGTTTTCAGCAAAGGGATTTTATTCTCAGATGCTGTTTTTGAATGGCTTCTGTTTTTAATTTTTCTCCTACTAGATAAGAGATTTTATAGATGTTTGTATTACATGATAATGTAGCTAAATCAAACTTCATAATTTTAGTAATTAGTGAGCTAGCGTGATTGAGTTACAAAGAAAAATTCATACAAAAAAGCAAGAGTACTGAGGAAGGAATCTTGGCGTTGGTTTCAGTTTCTGTGATGGGTTTGTAGCTCCAGATAAGCTTGCTACTTCTGTTGTCACACAGTGAAGGGGGCTGTACACATATTTTCCTTTCAGAATGCTTCTGGATCTTTCCTGATGGAAAAGTTTCCAGCGAGCAAGCGTAGACTGTGTTTTAATGAGCTGCAAGCATACATTTTCATACTTCAGCTGGACAACTGAAGAGCTATGGAATTAGACAACAGCTCTTCTCCAGAGATCTCTTTTCCTCCAAAAGTCTTTACTGCTCACCTTCCTCTGGTGTGGTAGCTGAGCAAAGACACTGATGCCGGGACAGGGCCTCTATCTTAATTAAAGATTGTTTGTCATAGTGTTTTTGTTCGTTTGAACTCAGGACCTTGCGCTTGCCAGGCAAGCACTTATTCTACTGAGCGATCTCCCCAGCCCAGTCATAGTGTTTTTGAATTTATTTTATATGCTTCTTTTACCCTTAGACAATTCAATAAATACATTGTGATCAATTTTAATTCTATAATTTTAGTTAGTATGAACATATACATGTAAATCTGTCTATCGATATATTGATAGGTATCCTCTATTTGACAGATAGTCTTAAAAATAGATTTTTCTCCATTGTTTAAAAAATTTACTTCCCACTGACAGAAGTCCATGACAGAAACAAAGTTTAAGCAGAGGGATGCCTTCACCACTTGATAAAAAGGAGTCTCTTCTCCAGTGTCACAAAACACACGATGACATTTCAAAAAGAAAACAATACTGGCATATCCATAGCGCTTTTCTCAAAATTGATTTCTAACTGTCTACCTAATGGTTGTAGTTTAAGTGATTCATTCTCGTGCACCATGAACATGACTTTGCTTCTGTGGATGGGCAGTTGTGGTGTGGACGCAGCAGGTGGCGAAGGCCTATTGCTGGGCGAGGCCGTGAGGGTGGCAGGCCTGCCATCTGTTGGCCAGTTATGCGGGTCACATGTTAACGCATCACTTGGTGTTTGAAATGTCGTGAGAACATGGTGTCTGTTGTGCTATAGCCATCCCATCTAATTGGGGAAAGAAAAGTTAAAATTGAAAGCAGTGCTACAGAAATTAATACTAGTTTTTAAGTTTTCCAAAGAGCCGGCAATTTCAAGGCTTTCACGTTTCTCCTTATTTATTGTGCATTTCCTGCTCTACCATCCAAGTTTCCTCTTGATTGATAGCCCTGAACCAAGTCTTCTGGAAAATGTCTACAAGTTATATTTCCACATACATTCTTTGCAGTTCTTAGATAAAGTTGACATGGCAAGTGGAGTGCAATAGTAGCTCTGAAGCCGGGCAACTGGGCTTCTAGTCCGAGGTTTGTATGTGCTCGATTAACTGTCCCCTGTGTGTTGTTCTCATCAACTTAAAAATGATCTGCTCTCATTGGCTTTGGTAAAAGGGTGACTGAATGCATTGCCCAGCAGAGGGGTGCAGTTTCTCCCATGCTTGTGATCCTGGAGCTGCAGTGGATCAGACACTGTGAACCCTACTGGGCCAGGAGTCACTTGAGCATGACCTTAGGATGACCTTCAGAACACTGAGAGTGAAGAAACAGCTCTTGAACTCTCCAGTAATCCATGAGATTAAGACTTTAGGAAGTTTTGGATTGGTTTTCCAGGTTTGTAGTAGGAGGCTTCATCTTATCTGGGAGCCTTATATTTTCATGAAGAAAAATGATGCTGCTGCATTAAGGGGTGACGTGTACATGCATTTGATGTACAGCCTCTGGCTTGATCTCAAGACAAACATTCAGTGGACACCAAGAAATAGTGTGCAATTGCTCAGGACATGTGACTTGTGGCAAGTGAAGAGAACGGGTAAATGTGGAAGGTATGAAACAATTTTTAAAGCAACAGAGAAGAATTTGTCCACTGCATGTTCTTAGTGAGAAGTCTCTCACACGCCTCTACCTTACATGGGGCCAATTGTGGAAGAAAACAAAGATGTTGATTATAAAGCATGCAATATAATACCTGGCTCTGATACCTGACTGCTGTTTGGAGACTATATATATTTCTTTAAGGTGAATTCTATCCTGAGGGTTACCTTAATAGTTATTTCTTTAGGTTTATTTATTTATTTATTTTATGTGTTTAGTACAGGGTCTCCAGGGCCTCACTACACGGATTGGACTCATAGTGATCCTCCTGTTTTCAGCCTCCCAAGCACTGGGATTATAAGTGTGCAGCACTACGCCCAGTCTCAGTTGCCCTCTCAGCGCACCCTGGGGGTGGGCCGGAGTGGCTTGCCAGCGATTGAACCCCAGTTGCTGAGCTTGCCTAAGCGGGCTCTTTAGACTGCTGATATACGTGGCTGGCCCTCCTTGAGGTTTATTTATTTAGGGTGAATGCTGTCCTAATTTTTTATGGCATACTTCTTTTGAAAGAATACAGAAGAATGACTGAAGGATACAGATGAATCAGGGACAAGCTCCTTGTTTTCCCCTGATTGCAACCATTCTCTCTGGCTCACAGCTATGTCCCAGGCCTCTGTCGTCCTAAGCCCTGGAGATCTAGCAGTTCTTAGCTGAAATCATGACTTGCAGGTGATATATGAATTCTCTGTCTATGTAAGCCTTGAAAGCATTTTTTCCATGTTTATAATTTTTGCATTAATAGAAGGACAGAAAAAGAGAAGAAATACCCTTCACGAATTCAAAAAGTCAGCAAAGACTACCCTCACCAAAGAAGACCCACTACTGAAGATCAAGACCAAGAAAATGGGCAGTGTGGACCAGTGCGCTAGCAGATGCACCAGGAATAAGGGGTTGCCCTTCACCTGCAAGTGAGTCTTGATGCTGCTCCGGGAGGGTTCCAGGTGGCACACGCGCCCCTTGAACCCGTGCTCCTCTCTGGGCTTCTGCGACCGCACTGCATTCTGTTCTTTTGACTAAGCTTGTGTCTGGTTTCAAGTCATCAAACAGAAATCTGAGCTCTCTGAGAATGCAAGTAGAACCTGAGTCAGGGAGAATGCAAAGCTATCCTCTAAAACGAACAGGGGTTTTGCTTATGAGCATTTGGATTTTTTACTAGGAACAGTGGAATTTGGGGAACTCAAATCATCTTGGGTTATTGTATATCTCTCTGATATTGTAAATATTCTATTTGGTCATTCAGGGTAAATCTTTTCCTTCCCCCTTTTTTCTTTTTCTTCTTTCTTTCCTTCCATTCCTCCTTCCTTCCCTACCTCCTTTTTCTCTTCCCTTTCCTCCCTCCTTTGCTCCTTCCCTCCCTTACTCTATCTTTCAAAAAGACTGGAGGAATTTTCAGAATAGAAACTGTACAATGACCAAAATTCAGTGCAACTAGTATCTTTGTCTTTGGGATTTAAATAAAAGGTGTTGAGAGAATCAGTTAAAAATTACTGGAGGGACTGGTGTCCACTGCAAAGGCCGTGCAAGAGAACTTAGGGTGTGGTGGATGTGAAGTTTCAGGTGAAAGCTGTAGAGCACTTCTGAGGGCTGAGGGGAGTGCAGACAGAGGGGTCCTTCTCTTTGGTCATCCTTGGTGGCCCCTTACTGATTCGCCAATCACTTAAGAGGAAGCACCATGCTTGGTCACAAAGTACATCATGGCATCTCCCTAGTGCCTCACACTGCCACAAGAATATGCATTTTCTTGTTCTTCATAAATTTCCTCTCTCTTCTCTTATTCTTTTCTTCCTATTTCAAACCTTTTAAAAACAGGATTGCGTGGAACACTCTGCTAAGTTTCGAATTCCAGTTCATTTTATTGGACAGTGGCAGGCAGTGTGGACTTGAGATTCAGCAGTGTCAGGGCACGAGGCCCACTTCCGTCCTCCTTTGCTAGAGCTGAGTGCTTCAGACTCTTGGGGAAGGGTGTGGGCAGAGGGCTCCACAGAGGGGAGCCTGGAAGACCCTACCCATTTTTATTGCCCAACTGCCCCTTCCAGGGAAGGTGCTCTCTAACACTGGAAGTGGATTGCAGTAATAATTCTGCTCTTATTCTATGCCAATTCTGTTTCTTCCCCTTACTTTTGTATAAAAAGTTTTTTTTTGGGGGGGGGGATTGAACTCAGGACCTTGTGCTTTCTAGCAAGGGCTTATTCTATCAATCCATCTCCCCAGCCCTTAAAAAGCTTTGAGATAGTTAAAAAATAAATTAGGAAAAAATATTACTTTCATTCCATACATCAGCTATGTAGATTTGTGGAGACATTCCTTTGGCAATCAAATAGGATAAAGTTATATTTCTCCTTCTCAGAGTTGGAAATTTGTGGCCAAGGGGATAGACACCACATGCCATTGATAGTAAACTTTTTGTTATTTTGGTGGTACCAGGGATCAAACTCAGGACCCTGCACTTGCTAGGCAAGCACTTATGCCACTGAGCTATCTCCCCAGCCTGACTGTAAACTTTGAATCTGAAAATATGCCCTCTTGGGGCCTATGTAAGCAGTACTGCTTCCACTCGATTTATGGTTCTCATGCTAAGTTGTTTACCAGTACAGACCAAAAGGCTTTTCTGTGTTGGAGAAGACATGTGGCCTTCTGAATACACACACAGTTATCCAGGTATATGAAGTTTCAGACTCTTAGACCATATTGTGGTTAAGGTAATGCACGGGCCACATAACATCAGTGTCCAGAGGGCTGTGGACAGTGCTGTGGACGAGGTAGGAGGGGAAGAGCGTTCTACAGCACTTTCCTCTTGAGACAGTGTCAGTGGTGCTGGCTTTCCCGGCATTCCAGAACCTCTTTGCTAGGCAGGAGAGACGCTCAGAGTGCCCGATTCTTGAGTTTCAGCAGACTTCTCATTCACACGATGACCTACAGGAGAAATCAGGAGACCTCTTCCAGCCATGACTAAGTAGAATTGTTTAGAATAATTTTAAAAGAAGATGACAGCAGAAATGGAAGGACAAAAAAATGTGCAATCGGAAAGTTGGAGATCCTGTACACAATTTTCCAGTTGAAATCATGTACCATTTTATTTTAGTATCTTTTTTTTTTCTGTGTTTAGGACAGGATCCACAGGGCATACGGGGTCTTACTACATAGATCCGACTCATAATGATTCTTCTGTTTTCAGCCTCCCAAAGCTGGGATCCAGGCAGGCCCCACCATGCCCAGTCTCAGTTGTTGTTTCAGCTCGGCCCGGGGTGGTACTGGCATGCACTCCAGGGATCAAAACCTGGCTGGCTGCTGTGCTCAGACTGAGCAAGCACTTTCGTCTGCTGAGCTAGCAAGCAGGCCCTGTTTTAGTATGTTGGATATTTTCATGTTGTTTTTGGTAAAATTGTTTTAGTGATCGTCATCAACAACAACAACAGCAAAGCAAATGAAATACTTGGCTGTAGGAATGGTAGTTGTGAACGTGAAACATGTACATCATTTGCCTTCAGATGATACATTGAAAGCATATCCCCAAAGACTGACCATTTTTAAGTTCAAAGTGTATATACTAAGGCCAGGCAAGGGGCACACACTGCTCCTCAGCCCCGGGGAGGCTGATGCACAAGGCTTCTGTGCATCCCAGGCCAGCCTGGGCACATAGGGAATTTAGGGCCAGCTCAGTGACACAGCAAGGGCTTATCCCCCTAAAATCAAACAAGCACATGGAAGTAGGTATGCAAGCAAGCATGTTTGGGAAACATGCATAGAAACAAAGTCATCCTCAGAGCAAGATTTCCCTTGCTTTAAGTGAGCTCTAGTGTCTTATAACTCATCGTATCCTTAGGGATACGATGGGCCAACATTCCTGAACATTTGATTTTAGGTCCTCCTTTCCTAGCGAAGATCCTAGGTGGTTATTTGCCTGATGTAGCATGTCATTTTTATATGTTTACAGATTTGGGAAAACAATCATGATATCATAATCATATTCATCTGCATAGACGTATAAAGAAAGTCTCCCAAGTAGCAGGGCACATATAAAAATAATCTTTGAAACTGTCCAGATCATTTTGCTACCTGTTGTTTTTTTTCATAATTTTATTGATAAACAAACAGCAATGAGACAGTTTCAATTCAAATCGCTAGGACAGTTTCAATAATTAACACACTGCATACATTCTTCTTAGTGGTTAATTGCTGTACAAGATGTGGACTTGAGATCCTATTTACAAACACCATTAGAACAAATCATTCTATTCATTAAGAGAATGTAACTATATATCTATCCCAACCACTTTGAATACACAGATACAAAATGGACATTCATCTGTATACCCTTTTTTGTTAAGTTCCATTATTTGAATATTATAGGTGTGTAAATTCAGCAAAATATTCCAAGAGAGTCCAGTAGCCGATAATAGCATTGGGTCTTCTGTTTAACTGGCAATGTCAGAAATTGTTGACCTGAGTCCCCCACAGCTCAACATAACAGCATGGCTTTACTTCCTATATTTTGTCTTCATACTTTTCTACTGGATGGTTAAGACCAAGGTAAAGCAGGACCTGTGCAACAAGAGTTGTAGCTTTTGGGTCTGAGAAGGTCAGTGAAATCCCCTCAGGATTTGTCCTGAGATCCTGTACCTCAGATTGTAGAACCTTTGTCAGTGTCAGCCATGTGGATGAGTCACGGCCCTTGCTTGGCCAATGTGCTCTCTGTGAAAGCCTGAGAGAGTGTTTTCTCTCCATGTGACTCTCCTTAGGCACACTCTACATTATCGATCACTTTCCTCTTTGGCCCCATAATCTCCTTGATCAGAAAATTTGGGACACTACCGAGTTACATGACATTACAGTACAAGTTCTCCTATGTCCTGAGTCTTAATTGACCTTAGAAGGCTAGGGCCAAAATGTTGGCTTTCCTTGCAGCCCTCCTTTTTCTCTAATTTGGTCTGCAAACTTAGGTTGTTAACCATCCAGAAGACAAGCTTATTGTTATTATCAAACAATTTAGGCTGTTAAGCTTAACCTCACTATCTGTCTGCATATCAAACATCTTAGGCATAAGGAACAGGTATTTTTCATCAAGTATTGATATGTTGAACTTTAAGTCCCTACATAATATGATAAAAAACATTTAAAAATTAGATTATATTTTAAAAATAGGATAAAGAATTCTATACTTCTCATGTTTGCACATAAGTCCAAAAATCTCACCATATACAACCTTGAAGCAGGACAGTCCCACAATATTCCTTTTCCTGTCTCGTGCTTTCTTTTACTTGCTCAAGCTTGTAGTTTTCAGCAAGTCATTGAGAATAGCATGAGAACATCTCAACAACTTTTCAGTCAGATATTTAAATCTATATCCTCAATAAGTTAACTGGGATTTTTTTTTTTTTTTTGGTCATCAAATGGTAGATTCTGATATCATTTGTGTATTTATTATGTGTCTATAATAGCCTATCGATATTATATTTTCTTCCTTGGTGTAGTTATATATTTAGACATAGTATAAGCAGCAGGTTTCCTTCTTTTCATTCTAGTGTTTGTTCTCCTCAGGGCCTTTGTTTTTGACAAAGCAAGGAAAAGATGCCTGTGGCTCCCTTTCAATAGCATGTCGAGTGGAGTGAAGAAAGAGTCTGGCCACGAATTTGACCTCTATGAGAAAAAAGGTACCTGGCTTCTCCCTATTGGCTGCCTGATGAAATAGCCTGGACCGCGCGTTCGTCATTTCCTGCACAGTGCTGATTCCCACTGGTTTTTCTCCTACATGCTAATCCATTAATGTAGTCCGTTCATTCACGAAGGCTGATAAAAATCGCAGCTTGGCTGCTTCCCGTGGTATTGTAGAGCAGCTCCCAAACGTCTTGTCATCTGGATTCACCTTCCTCTCGGACATTTGTGCTCCTCCTAGAACTGATACTTTTCATGCTCATTTAGTAAATATCATCTTATGTTACAAGGTGAAGATATATTAAATTTTTGACAAATTTTGACAGCCATATTTTATTTACATTTAACAACTTTGAATAATCTTACAATGGTGATTGTTCATAATTTGGATAAATCACGCAAAAAGGAATTGAGACTATATGATTTGCTAACTCATCCATAATTGTATTCACAAGATAATTATGCTATTGAAAACACAACTGTATGCATAAAATAATTATAGAACATTAAGTAAATATAAATTTTACAAGTGAATGATTTCATCACAAGTAGTAATTATGTGCTTGCTGTCCTTCTGAGAAGGACACTCATTTTCATACTACCATCTAAAAAATCTGAAAAAACCTCAATCTCTGTCCTATTAAACTTGGACATTAGAACCTATGTACACAAAGTATTTCCATTTGATAGGGTCAGTGCTTACCTAGAATTAAAAGAAATTTTGAGGTAGAAAATGGGCATCTCTACTTGACCCAGGACGTCTGCAAGTGCAGCACAGGAACATTTTCTTGGATTCTCCTTTGCTAATGCCTGCATGTGCTCTTACTTGACAGTGACATAGGGTATCCTAAATTCAGCAGCCATAGCTGTATCTTAGCAGCTGGGATGGTAACAAAAACGTAAGAAAAATCATAACTTAATGTACTTATCTCAGATATATATGCACAGCTTCACTCAGTGAAAAAGACATTAATGATAATTTGTAAAATAACTTCTCAATATTTTAAAAATGGTTCTTTACTTGAGGTATTTTAGGGCTCGTAAGTCACACTTCTCTGGCCAGTTGTGCATGTACAGAATAATTTACATTAAGTTCAGGCTAGTATTTTTAGCTATTCTCATATAATTTACTCGCAGCCTTGGAACTTCTCATCTTCTGCTTTTGTGTGTTTGTTTTGGATTACTCCAAAGTGTGTTATTTTGAAAATCCTATGTGAAGCTTTAGGCAAGAGATTTCTATGCTATTTTGGAACACTTTAGGAATTAACTACTTACAGGTCTGCAAGGAACTCCTCCTCCTCTTCTCTCCTTGGTAAGGGGGCCTGTGTCTTGCGTGAGCACAGCTGTCTCTCTTCCTCCACAGACTACATCCGAAACTGCATCATCGGGAGAGGGGGCAGCTACAAGGGCACCGTCTCAGTCACCAAGAGTGGCATCAAGTGCCAGCCCTGGAGCTCCATGATCCCCCACGAGCACAGGTAAGGCCAGCACCAAGCAGATGGCACAGCCTGTCCTCGAGGGTGGCAGTCTTGCTGTAGTCCTCCCCTAGTCCTGTAGCCCTGTGGTAACTAAGTCAGGTTGTAGAATTGCGTGAGACCAAGGCTTACGTGAATTTATGGCTGAAAAGAACATAAAGCAAGCAAATGCATCCTAACAGCAATGTAACTCCGTGCCTCAACTTGTAGATCTAGATGTTTGTGAACGAAGAATGGAATCTTCATTTTGGAGGTAGAAAGGTTGTTCCTTTTGCTTTTGAGGAAGCATTAGAGGCTGTCTAGTGCACCAGAGGCAGATCAGACTCCGACCCGAGAGGCTGTGGGGTTTTTCCAACCTTGGCTAGCTGCACATTAGAATCACCTGCTGCAGCCCTCCGGGTGCTGCCCCACCAAAGGGCAACAGGCCAATGAGGACAGCAGCTTGGGTGGCAGGGGGAGCCTCCCTGACTTCAGGCTTACCCGTGATTCCAAAGTGTAGACAGAGCTGAGCATCACTGTGAAAGACTCATGCCTCAGGCTCACCGGTTCTCATTTCACCTGTGTTCTAAAGATGGCAGCAAACTCCTGCTTGGGAGACAAAGTGTCTAAGCCCCAGAGGAGCATGTTTATTGTGCAGGTGAATTGTACAGCCAGGACTGTCCACACGACATTTGCAGGCTCCTGGGTTGTGAATTGTAGTCATCGTGGAAGAAAAACATAAACACCTAATATCTAGTAGGGACTAAACATATCCGTAGCTTTGAGGACTTACTTCACAAATAGTTTTTTTTTTTTTAATTTTTTTTTAATTTATTTGAGAGAGAGAGAGAGAGAGAGAGAGAGAGAGAGAGAGAGAGAGTGGTGTGTGTGAGTGTGGCCAGCTCAGCCCACCAGGGGGTGGGGCTGGCTGGCATGTGGTGCTGGGGGATTGAACCGCGGTCCCTGATGCTTTTGCTGAGCTTGTTTTAAGTAGGTGCTTTAGACCACTGAGCCATCTCTCCAGCCCCACAAATAGTTTTTAAAGGGAGCTAACATGGTTACTAGCAGTTCTCCCCTGATTAGTAAGTGGATTAGAAGCTTTAGTTTATCCATGTGGCCCGTAACTTGTGGACTACTTTAGTTGTTTATCTCATGGCATTCTCAGAGGAATAGCCAAGCGGGTACTTTGATTACATTGTAAAGCTGCAGCATAGGGAACCACAGTACTTGTCAGGGTTCTCGACACCTGCTAATAATTGGCAAGTGTTGAGGCTGCAGGACAAGGCCAGCCAGTGCACCTCTGTGACTGGTGTTCTGGCCACCCCTGAGGCATGAGCCCTGTGGCCTATCAGAGGAGCAGAGTTTGGGACTCTATTTTGCTAGTGGCTATGATCTTGCTTGCTGAGAATTTTTTAATTTAATTTTACTTTTTCTTAAAAAATCACAATTTTATAACATGATTGATTGTGCTTTAGTAATAGAGATGAGTTAATTGGCTTACATATAGAGAAAAACAGCTAGCTGTTCCAACCTGGGGTTGAACCTGTCCTCTCGGCTTACTTAACCTGAACCACTAAGCAGTAAGCTGGTCATTTCAGTAACAGAAAATAACTATCCCCAAATTAGTTTCTAACAGTAATACAGGAATAACTGGAACATAGTAGTGCTTTATATCACAATACAAACCCAATGGCTGTGTCTGTCTTTTCTCAAGGATATATGTAGTAAAGACATTTTATTTAAAAAGATAGATCAACATTTTTCAAAAAAAATGACTATGTATGCTACTATATTTTTCAAACTTAGCATTTGAAATCAATCTTAGTTTCAGGGTCTTATTTCAAACCCAAATTCTCTAAGATTGTGATTGTTTGCTAGCTGAGTAAGGGTGAAATAGATCTTCCTGGGAACTTGCTTCCTAACTCAACCACTATTTTACTAAAGTACATTCCCTTGTGGCATAGAGGTTTAGGGTTGAGAGGGCTAAACAGTATTAATCAAATACTTCTTTAGTGTTCAACTGAGATTGACAATTTTCTTCAATTAGCGGCTTATTGGAGTATCTGCATGATAACTTCACACTTTTAAGTGTTAATTAAAGATTACTTTTATGGAAAATGGAAAAAAGAAATATATTTCTATTTGGAGGACTGATTTACTATTGACTCCCTTAACTGAAAAATTTTACAAGTAGCTTAATGGAAAGATGATGATAGATGATGAGATTAGTATAGAAGATAAACCAGAAAACAAGGGGACACGATATCTACATCTATATCCTTCATTAGCAGCCCAGGATTCATTAATAAAGCAGATGGTGGAGTAGATCAAGTTTCCTATGAGCACAATTTATATTAAAAGAAAAGCAGGCTAGCATGTAGAAGTTTATGTTTCAAAGTATACTTGGATAATGCCCAGGGGGGACTATTTCTTCACTTGGCTCCCTTCAAGCCTTGCTAACAGCAAGGACAGACAACTAAAAATAGTAAGTATGTGAATAACTTACTATTGTAAGTTCCATCCAGAGCCTGCTGCCCGGCCCACCTCATATGTGCTTGGTTCTCATAAGCATCTGTCAGTGAACACCTGTATGAGGTGACAGAAGGTGGGCAGTCTCCTGTGGCCAGCATGGCCTGTGAAGAAAGGGTGGTCGCCGCTTGGGACACAAGAAGTCAGCTAACTGGGGTAAAGTTCAAACACACCAGAGAGCAAAGAGGTGGTCCAGACTGAGCTTTCATGTCACCCTCTCTGAGAGGAATCGGGATCCATTCAGAGCTGTGGGAAGAGCCCAGGGTTCCAGTCCATTTTATTCACTCCAGGGGAAAATTTGTCTATTGGCCATTATCTAGTCTTAATTTCAACTTTGTCTTTTCCTTCCTAACCATATGTTTCCTGCGAAGTTATTGCCTGACACATTCACTACCTCTTCACAGCTTCTAGTTGGCTTTCCAAACCCACAGGACAGGTATCTGTGTGTTTCTGTCTCTCTCTCCCTTTTTTTCTCTCTCTCCTTCCCTCACCTTTTAACAATAACTCCTCTTTAAAACTGTAGATAATGGATATGTGTTTATTTTATTGAACATGTACTAAAAACACTAGTTCAAGTAAACCTAGTATAAGAACATGACTGAAAAAGGAAATTAATAATAATCTTGCTCGTTCCATTTATCTTTTAAGAGAAGAAATTGAAGCTCAGTAAATAAATTGCCTAAAGACCTACACATCAGGCCAGCATATAGGAGGCAGCAGTGTGTTCTACGATTAATAATAGTGTGTTCTTGCTGCCCCGCTTGCTCACAGTACAGTTACACTAGAGTTTTCCTAGATGAATTTGGATAATGCACTGATGTCATGGGAATAGATAGCAAAGTTTGGTTTTGATTCCATCAGTAAAATAACTATTTTTGAATAAATCTTCTGTAAAAATTATGAGAAGTGTTGAAAACAGAAGGAAAAAACGTAAGGCAGAGTTACGAGCAGAAGCTCCACTGAAGTATTCTGAAATTGTGGGACTAAAATTAGCAAAAATATGTGACTTCCTTCATTTTGAAAAGTAATTGCTGTTAGCAGTTGCTAAATTATGGCCAGTTTTAATTACATTGTTGGTTTTATAAGTCATTCACCTAGTGCATTATTTGCATTTCCCCTTTTCTAAAATGCTAGAAATGTAAGGTTATAAACTATCAAAGACACTTCAGAGTTACAGAATGTCTATAGTATTTCATTCATCTTTTTAGCAAGGTCTGTTTGTTAATCAGCTTCCTAGCACAGATCATTTCTGTTTGGCCCATAGTTACGTGTTCTGAGGACCTCACACTGTAGATTTTTCCTGCTCAAGTGAAAGAATTTCATCGTAGAATGTCACTTGATCCCTAAGGGATCCCTGTGTTCACTCTGTGTACTAATTTTAATAAAAATTGAAATCAATATCTTTTCTTTCTCTTTTTATGATTGACATACAACATCTGTATGTATTTATGAGATGCAGTGTGATGTCTTGGTTTGTGTTCATGACCAGCTCAGGGGAATTAACACGTCCATTTGTAACTCGAAGTTTCACTGGGCAGCAGGCATGTTTGGACTACATGTCCTGAAGACAAAAGCCTTGGACTTCATGTGTACTGAGAACTCTAAGGCCAGTGATAGTAGGAATGAAGCTTTTTTGCAAAAACCCAACAAAGGGGGCCTGCCCATTAGCTTAGGTGTTTAAGTGCCTGCTGAAACAAAGCAGCCAGGCTCAGGATGCTGTGGTTCGATCCCCACATTTTCAAGCTAAGCCAGACCTGCCCTGGAGGCATCCTGGGTGCCCCCCCCCCACAAAAAAACCCAGCAAAATATTGAAAATGTGACATTTCTCAAAACTCTTTCTACTGGTATTATCTATAGTTACATATCAGGTTTGTTTTTTTTTTTTTTTTTTTGGTACTGGATATTGAACTGAGACCTTGCACTTGCCAGGCAAGTGCTTATTCTACTGAGCCATCACCCTGGACCTACATATTAGTTTTAAAAATGACTTTTGATTGTAGTCTACAAAGAAAATGTAGCAGCTTTGAGTCCAAGGTCATAAACAGAAGCAATCAAAAAGTTTCGAACTTTTTTCTTTTCTTTTTTGTATTTTAGGAAAGGGTCTACAGGGTGTTCAGGGTCTGACTACTAGATTGGACTCGTAGTGATCTGCCTGTTTACAGTCTCCCAAGAGCTGGGATTACAGGCATGCACCACCACACCCAGTCTCAATCTCCATCTCAGTGCACCCGGAGGAAGGGCTGGCACAGCAGGCCTGGGGATTGAACCCCTGGCCCCTGAGCCTGCTTGCAGGCACTTTAATCTGCTGAGCTATTTGGCCAGCCCTGGCCTTTTCAAATGTGTTAGAATATTTTATGATAGTAACAAAATGACCATTAGGCCATTACAAGTTTTACATGAAGGTAATAAATCCAAGTGATCAAACCTGTGGCTCACTGTTGTGGTTCAGACTAGAAGCCCAAGCCTCAAAGATAGTCAATATTTCCAGAAACATTTTTTTAAAGAAATAAGTAATTCTATGCTGAAAGTGTCACAGCAGGGATGACAGCAGGGCGCGTGGTTAGACATAGGTAACACCTGAGTAAGTGCATATTTTGTCATCTTTTTTAACTTCTCCAAACACCCGTTCAAGCTGTCAGATGTTAGACGCTTCAGGCATGCTCCTTATACAGGTGAACTACCAGGCAGGAAGATGCCCAAATACTTGCAGGGGTCTCTGGCTGGAAAGCTTTGAAATTGAAGTCTAGGTCTCAGTTGACTTCCGCTTCTTGGTTCATGTTCATTCATCCATCTGTTTCTCAATTGTGCAAGTGGGAAAAAGAGGCTGTTATTTATAAGAAAAGCAGTAACCAAATAGATGATGACCTTGGGTAAGCAGGGTGGTGGTGTGATCTCAAGGTTAGTGCCGTGATTTCTCAGGTCTTCCCTTAAGGACCTTTAAGTGGAGCTGTGATGCTGTGATTTATACCACGCCAATGACAACCCAGAGCCTAAAATTCTTAATGTGATATTGAATACAAAAGCTCAGCTAGATGAACTTTAAAAAACATTCTAGTATTTTAAGAATTTGTGGAAATGATCAAATTTAAGTTAAAATATGGGTCTGTATAAGAATAGTCCTAAGGGGTGACTTTGGTCTCAACTTTCAGGAAAATTCAGAGAATTAGTTAGTAAATTTAATAGGCCAAAAATAAAGTTGCATGCTCTTATACTGTAATGATTATCATTTTAAAACTAGCTTTTTGCCTTCGAGCTATCGGGGTAAAGACCTACAGGAAAACTACTGTCGGAACCCTCGTGGGGAAGAAGGGGGACCCTGGTGTTTCACGAGCAATCCCGAGGTACGCCATGAAGTCTGTGACATTCCTCAGTGTTCAGAAGGTAAATGAGCCTGACTGCGGGTCACCCCATCTCCCATGCGTAGAGCTGTGACACATTGCAGGGGCATGGACATGAGTCGGTCACAATAAACACAATGTCCACTCAAAAGCAGCCCTGGAGAATAATTTGGGTGCTTGCACTGATGTTTTGCAAACTCTCCGATGACCACCAGATTAATGCAAGTCATGGAGCCAGTGTTCAGTTTGAATTTCAAGGTCAGCCTGAGACATCTACTGTCACTACTGTCTTCAGCTCACGTACCTTGAAGTCTGCTCCCATAGATCACATATAAAGAACTGAATGAAATTAGCCCTTTATTAGTAATGCTGGTTCTATATATCCAGCACCTGCTTGTAGAAGGCACTGGGTACAACTTCTGTGGTGTCCTATGACCAAGGCCTATGCATTCAGAAGAGAATAGGACCTGGGGTCACCGGAAGCTCAATACTCCCAGGAGTGTTTTGGTGCAGATGGGACCAGAAGCAAATCTGACACCCAGACAGGAAGTGAGTGCCAAATGACCCCCTCTCGGGGCCCAGTTGTCTTGAGTGATTGCACCCCAGCGTCCTCTGTGTTCCCCTCCTCTGAGCATGCAAGGCGCTGTCTACTCTGGAGCGACTGATGGCTGATAGAGAAAAGATTTCCAGCACTGCGTGAGGGCTCATTTTTCACAGATATTCGGCTATTGAATAGCTAGCTTTTTTCAGTTCGGTCAAAATCTCTTAAAATTTGCCAAATCCAAATGTGGATTGAATTATTTTAGAGGTTTATTAAAATCTGAAAGTACTTGGGGAGTGGAGGAAGCGCTGGAATGCTGTCCTATTTTTATATGAAGATATTTTACCTGTTTATGAACTAAATATTTGAGTCATGTCATTCATGAGCAGCCATAAAGGCTTTGCTGCTCTAAGTGCCACAGAGAAAGTGAAGATGCTTTTGTTGTTAGTGAACTTAAAACCTTGACTTCGTGTGGCAGAGCCAGTTCCATGTCTGTTTGTAAATTCTCACTTTCCATTCCATGTCATGTTCTGTTCCCTATAACTCTTTCATTGTTTTCTTTCCTTTTAAAAATAATAAACTTAACTATGATAACACTGTGGACAAGTCTGTTTTGTATGACTAAAGTCTGTGCTTAATATTTGGCTTAAATTTTCACATGGAAGAAAAAAGACCCTATTTTTAGGGAAGCCCCCATTTTCAGGTTTTGTAGTCACTTTTGAAAATCACTACTAAGGATTTTTGTTTATGGATTTTTTTTTGACCTGGTTAGCCATGTCTCAAGACAGGGAATTCAGTTTAACTTTGTGTAGCTTAGAATGTACATCAGCTGCCTCATCCCTGTGAGATTATGATTTTCAACTCCTGACTAATAAGAAGAACTCATTAAATACAGTGCCAGGGATGCAGACCCTTAGTGAGGGATAAAGAAAGTATAAGACGAGAAGTAATTTAAACACTTTTCTGCTTAGTTGCCCTTGAAAGGATGCAATTTGCAATATTCTTTCATAACTTGAGGTCATCAGACCTCCCTCAGAAGAAAGCACTGCTCACTGTTGCTGAAGATCTGCGGTACTCTCGGTCACGGCGCCAGGCGCCATCCGTGCATTCTCTCGGGAAGCAACTAGACATCCGACGAGGCTGTGGAAGCCCTCGTTCATGAGACCAAAGAGAGGTGGATTTGTGAGACTACTCATTTTTTCAGTTTTGCTGAAATAACTGCATGTATGGATATTTCCAAGTAATTACCTTTAGCAGAATAAAATTTACACTGATAAAAAACTGATCCAGTTGATGACTGGATTTGAAACAAAAGTAATTGATTTAGTTTGTAAACTCACATCACCTACGGCATCATGACTGAAAAAGTGCACAAGTTTTCTTGCTTAGAATAATGAGAAAGCATAGCCCTGAATCGGAGCCATGTTCCTAATTCGGTGTAGTTGTACTAGTTTTCTCCCACCGTTTTGGCGAGAGCCACACTTCGGATTTGGACTTGTGAGCGGTGTATTTGTTTAGGTCCATTTGCTTTGGGACTGTGCTTTGCTCCTGCCTTGCTCTGTGGCAGGGGCTGCAGGATGCTTGCCTGAGGTTGCCTGATGTCACGTGAGGCTCTGGCCAAGGGGCGCGGGCTCATCCTCACCCACCCAGACCTCTCCCCAGTGCCTGTTCCACAGCCACACACTCCCTGCCTTCTTGGTAGGTTGGCTTCATTTCCATCCATCTTGCCTGGCTTTAGGCTGGGAACCCTTGGAAGATTCTTTGAGTCCCAGAAGTTTGAAAAGTGAGTTCAAACTTTGGTTTTCTAGAAGCCACTTCTATAATGAACTTGATAATTTAATTGAGTGGTGTAGGACAATTTTCAGCTGTGTGCTTCCCAGGGCAGGCCAATAGACCTGTTGCGCCTTGGTCTCCTCTCTGACCCTCCGAGGAGGAAGCCCTTTCTTAGTAAGAGGAAGGCAGAGCGGAGATGGCATAATTTAAAAAGCTAGGATTAATGGTCCTTCCCAGAACTTTCCAGTCTGTCTTCATGTGCAAACAATTAGAATTTGTAACAAACTGTGTAAGTATATAGGACAGAAAGGCAATTTGAACTATGGGAAAAGCTTCTAGAGGGTCAGAGAGACTGTTTTTGAGTGTTCGGGCTTAGAATGATGAGAAAGGTATGCATTGAACCCAAGTTACATTTTCTCTTTTAGGTAAGTCTCTCTCTCTTTTTTAAAATTAATTTTACTGAGAAAGAAATATCAATGAGACATTTTCAAAATATGTTAGTAGGACAGTTACAATTAGATAAGTCTCTTAAAATTCGTGGAAGTCTTGTTTTCTTTATAGTGCCAGGCAAGCAATATCGTGTATATTAAAGTTATAGAATAATCAGAAAATACACAGCTATCATAAGTTTGCCCCTCAATTTTATCCTGGGCGTGTTTAATTCCCACTCCAAAAGCAGCTTTCACTGCTTTCTAAACTTTTTCTTGCCACTTTGTACTTACCTTTCCTTGTTAGGCTCCACCACAGCCGCACCTTTCTTTACTACAAACACAGCATACTAATTCATGTTGTCATATTGTTTTATTGTGTGTTTTTCCTTCTATTTTTTATCCAATCATCATTTTTTCCTCAAGGTCTATGTAAAAATATATTCTCTCCTGAAGTACCACTGTCACAGAACACCGAGAACTCTAGAATATATCACAATAACTGCACACTTGCCGTCCAAAAGGAAGATGAAAGTGCTGGAAAATCACTTCTCCTGCGAGCTTCTTGCTAATTCCCAGGCCAGGCCAGCTGATGCAGAGTTGTGCAGCAGCCAAGTGTGGAGATGGTTTCTATGCACATGGTGTTTGCAGACACCTTGACCTACCACACACATTCTGGAAAGAAGTCTTCTCATAGAATCCTCTATTTCATTTCTACAGCTATTTTTTCTTAAGATGAATGAAAACCCATATGTTCAAAGATGCTTCCTTTTTTTTTTTTTTCCCCTTCGGAACTGGGGATTGAACTCAGGCAAGCGTTTATTCTACTAGCCATCTCCCCAGCCCCAAAAGATGTTTCATCGTAGTACACATAGTACTGCTTTCTAGAAGACAGCCCTACTTACTCTTATTAGAAAGGGAGCCTAGAGCAGACTCACGCACCCAAGGTCATCTAATCAATGCACTCTGATCTGTAAGTACCATTTGAGAGCAGGGTCACATATTTGGATGTCCTTCTTGTATGAGGTCATTGTGGTGAATTCTTTTTCATTCGGTACAAAGGGACAAATGACAGTGATAAATGCCACACCATTTTCATTGATGAAATCAAATCCTGCATGCTTTTAAAAAGAACTGAATAAATCCAAACCCCATTGAAATGGAAAGCTGAAATGTGATGATACTCAAGCTGTGTTGAGTTTGTTTTACAATGTGGAAATGCCCTCCGCCAGCCTGAGGGCCTTCCTCAGTGTGTGTGCTCAGGGCCTCTCCCCAGCAGCGGCTCACTGTGGGGCTCTGGCACCCTCAGTATCAAGTGAGGAGAAGCTGAACTGCTCCTTTGTCTAAGTTCATGAGATAATTGACACAAAAGGAAATAGAAGGATCAGTCCAGTAGTAGCTCATAGTCTCAGAAGGTTAATGGTTAATGTCCTGTTACAGAATAAGAATAAAAGGCTCAAAAGTAATAGTTCTACTACGTACCAAGGTCTATTCGAGTGCATAAAACTGCACATTTACATCCTTCCCCATTTCAGCGAAGGTAGATGATCACTAATCACAAGATACAAATGATGTGTTTGGGGAAATTTGCCGGATTCGTAGAAGAGGCAAGTGCTGATTTATTTCACAGGATACTTGCGGTGCTACAAATCAACCTTCTGCCCAAGAAGTGTGATGTTCAGCTAGTAGATGTGATTCAGAATTTTCAGTATGACATGAAAAGCCAGCCTGAAAGAACAATTAATTAATCTTACAGAATCATTTATGAGGTCCCACATAATTAGGTCAGCTTATCCATTTCACAGGAGTGGGTACAAGGAGTTCAATGATAGGTCACCTTCTAGCCTAAGCTAGAAAAGGGTAGTGTTCGCTAACAGGGGTGAGCAGTGTTTTCTTCTTGAAAGGATAGATATGTTCTGCAGCTTTCTGCCCTAAGCTGATCTCTTGAGTGTACTGGCTCCCAGTTATTGCATCAACCATGGGATATGATGTGTACTCCATTGAAATTGTGTCATTGCTGTGCATATGGTCGCGGGCAAGTGGAACGGGCGGCATTACTGTGCTCACGACAGACACTGAATCTTCATTTTAGACCAAGGAGACAAAAAGCTGCTGAAGTCTGCTTTACATTCCAATTGCTCTGTAACTACTGGACAGTTACTGGACCACTAGCTGTACAGAACCATAGCTTTACAGTAAACCTGTATGTCACCAGCTACAAACTATTGGTGCATTCCATAGAATATATTTTGTGCCACCATTTATGAATATAGGATGTTTTAAAACTATTTTGCTAAGCAGGTGATTTATTGTTCTCTTAATGGAATGGTGGCCTTTTTGATTTTGTTGGCCGAAACCAATAACGTGCCCTACTTTAACTTTTTTAGTGGAATGCATGACTTGCAATGGGGAGAGCTACCGAGGGCCCGTGGACCGCACGGAGTCAGGCAAGGCCTGTCAGCGCTGGGACCATCAGACTCCTCACCGGCACAAGTTTCTGCCTGAAAGGTAAGAGGCCTTTGGGTCTCAGTCCCCCAGCTCTCTTCACCCTCTGTTGTTTGCTCCATGACACCTTCATGGACACTACACACATGTGCTTTGTCAAATGCCTCTGGATTTTCAGGCTGCTTCTGAAGCAGCTGCTTGGAGCTCTGATGCTAGGAGGAGGTGGCTTGAGGAAGAGGGCTTTGGGCTGGGGTTCAGGAAAACACCAGGGACACTGTCAATTACTCTTGGCAAACTGGGGTAGGAGGCCGCTGCATTGGGACAGTCCTAGCACAAGATGGCCGTGAGATGCACAGTGGAAAGATGAACAGAACAAGCATCTGCTTTCGCCCCTAGTAAAGACAAAAGTTGAAAGGGGTGTGAGTCGGGCCTGCCCACCTCCTCTCCTGCCCTGTGGGAGCAGGGCTCACTGCTAAGCACAAGGGCATTGCCCTCTGGAGCGGCAGCCGAGCTTCCAGGCCTCTGGCCACAGAGGAGCACAGGGACACCTTGACGTGTACTGTGCTCATGGAAGGGGAGCAAGAGGGGCGGCAACAATGAGCTGACTGCTGTGTCCTGCAGCACTATGAAATTTCCAAGGACAGAAGCAGAGAACTAAGTCTACCTTTATCTTTGGAGAACACTTGGAGCTTTGAGAGTTAAGCGATTATTAGGGAGACGGGTAACCAATGTTTCACCTGATGCTTTAGTGTGTGCAGGATTTAATACTTTAAGAATGGGTTACATAATCCTACTCTATTCTTTCAAATTCTGAAACTTTGAAGTTTCAGAATTAGTTCTTTTTATTATAAAGTTAGTTCTTTTTTATAATAAAGAAAAAAAAGTAGAAATCATTTTAAAGGAAAGCCCACTCATGCCTTCTTGGAAAAGGCTTAAGAGTTTTTGCTTTCTTGTTTTTCTCTACCATTTTTGTTCATTTTTGCTTACTATTGTTCTTTTCAATGAAGCTGAAACTCTGACTTATTTTTAAAGTGCATGTCTTTTCTTTTAAGTGAGAACAGAAGGGATATGGTAGCAATTAAAACCAACTCAGCCATTCAGGACGCCCTTAATCTAAACTGGGAGCTGGGCTGCGGGGAGGGTGGTGTGATGGTTTGTCTCTTGCTCTGGTGCAGGGAGGGCATGACCTAGAAAGGCTCTATTTCCAAAATTGAGCTGTCATTAGTAACAGAGCAACTGAAACCGAACTTTCAGTTTGAACCCAGGCCTGCCCCAGAAGAGGACTGTTTTCCTAATGAGCATTCTACAAGGGGTCATGTTTTTGGAATCTGCCCTTAATTGGGCCCTGGGAGAAAGGGATGCAGTTGGGGACCCTAACTGGTAGGCAGATACCAAATGGTCCTGACTTACTAGTGAGAGGGCAGCATGCTCTGCTTAGTGGATACGAAATGAGAGAATCCTACAGTTAGTGATTAACAGCCCCTGTGAATTCAGAGATAGAAAACCCACTCTTCCCTTGAGCCGCGAGAAAGTTATTCTGTGAGCTGAGGCGGTGTTCCGGACAGACTGACACGACACTTTTCTCGGTGTGGTTTGCAGATACCCTGACAAAGGCTTTGATGATAATTACTGCCGCAACCCCGACGGCAAGCTGAGGCCGTGGTGCTTTACCCTTGACCCCGACACCCCCTGGGAGTACTGCGCAATTAAAGTGTGTGGTAAGTTAGGGCCAAATTTATTGGTTCCTTTTCCCCTCACAGCTCGGATCTAAGCAGGCGATTATTAGGGAGACAGGTTACCAGTGTTTCACCTGATGCTTTCGTGTGTGCAGGCTTTAATACTTTAGGAATGGGTTACATAATCCTAGTCCATCTTTTGAAATTCTGAAATTTTGAAGTTTCAGAAAAGCATTGTATGAATCTTAAACTTTTGGTAAAAGCCACAAGTGTCATGAAAATGAGACAAAGATGAAGGAGTATGTGCAGCGTCACAATGTCATAAAAGTAGTGACAGATAGAGCCCTGGATTCTAGCCTCTCCTTCCTGCATCCTCTCTGTTGTTTTTCGCAGGAAGGAGCAGGCTGAAAACGGAGTGGGAAACCATGTGGGTAGTGACCACAGCCACTGGGAAGAAAGCTGAGCACGTGGAGGCTTCCCCCATGGCTCCTCCTGTGCAGCAGCTGCTGTCGCCTCTGTGGCTGTCTTTGGTCCTCAGCTGTCTCCTAGCGCTCCCTGCTGCCCTCTCTAGACAGGAACCCCAGCCAAATTGCCTGAAGTCAGGCTACCAAGCACGTCTTCTTACGTGCCATATTGCTTTAACCGTGCATATGTCACATTCTTGCTCTTCTTTGAAATTATACTTGATACTAATGTGATAAGGAATTTTTATGAATAGATGCCTCATTTTTCAAGCGAAACTTAAAGTGTCTTGGGATGAATAGAATTGCACCCATTCATTAAGGTGTGGTCATAATATAATCTGACTTAATAATATAGGAGTACGTGTGCAGAGAAATATACAGAAAATTAAGTGGCCAGCATGAGGTCTGGTACAAGCATGTGCAGTAGTACCCACAGAAGAGGACATGGTCGATAGTAGCTCGTTTCCTGTTTGTGACGTGATGTCCCCGATCAAGCCTGGCTCAGTCCTCATCACTGCTGCTGGGTGGACTTCTCTGGTCCTTGACTCACTGATGAAGGCAAATGTTTCGGGGAGAAGCACGGCGTGTGCGGGAGCACTGCTGAATCTGGAGGCCCATGAAGGGTACCACAATGCTCCCAGGAGACTGAGTCATCCGCTCGTCCTCTAAACTGAAAGACGCCTCCAGGACAGCGTTCCCTGTGTGGCCTTAACTCTGCTTATGGGCTTGTTTGGTCATGATGGTCTTCCAAGTGCTCCTGGCCAGTTAGGTCCAGCCAAATATTCTGATTCCTTTCCAACTTTTGTGTATAGGGTACTCTTTGACATCTTGTCTGGAATAGACCAATAGAAACACACACACACACACACACACACACACACACACACACACACACCATAAAGCAATGTTTTGCACATTTAAAAAGACAATGGGAGAGCAAAGAAACGAAACGGATCTGATACTTTCTAACAATTACATAGGTTTCCTCCCCTTTGCTTTGTTGTCAAGAGGAACTGGGTAATGGTGTGCACAACATGCGCTATGTCTGGTGTCTCTGTTAAACGGCATGGTTGCTCATGGGATAGGGTTCCTCAGAAAATGGCAGTAGGATCTGTGAGCCAGTGCTTTATTTTTGAAATTAAAATAATCTTCAGAATTTTGTGAATGTTTTAGAAATAACTTATTAAAGGACAGCTTTTATTTTAAAACTTATGAGAATATAGTTATGAAGAGATTATACTTTTTTTTTTTTTGGTACCAGGGGTTAAACTCAGGCCCTTGCACTTGCCAGGCAAGCACTTATTCTACTGAGCCATCTCCCTGGCCCAAGAGATTATACTTCAAATAAAGTGAATGAAATAAAATTGGAATTCCTGGAAGCATAAAGGATAACCTTTTGAAAATATTCTTTCAAATTCTTTGACGTACAAATACAATAAGGCATATCATACAAAAATGAGGAATTTAGTGACAGTTTCATTTCTGTCTTAGTTTTTTATTATGGCAAAATATTCCCCAGGATGAGCAGCTTAAAACAGCCCACCATCGCCCTCTACTTTCCATGTGTGAGGACAGCTGGCAGGATGCAAGTGGGTTCCATGCTCAGTGTCCCTGAGGTCGCCATCACGGGCTCGCCTGACCTGTGGTTGGACCTGTGGCCAGTGGTCAGTGACAGAATCATGCGCTGTGACTGTAGGCAGAGGCCCTGGCCCTCAGAGACACCTGCCATTCCTTGTCTGTCATCATCCTGTCCCTGGGCTCCTCAGAGCAGGCACGGCCGTGCCTGCTCTGCCCGCTACACCTAACCCTTCTTTCTAAGGGCTTCCCGGGCTGGTTTGGGGCCATTTAGGCCACTTCCTGTTCATCACCACGAGGTCAAGTCTTAGGAAACTTAACTAGGTACGCCAATTCTCACTTTCTTTGTCGCATAACCACATAATTCCACAAGAGGATGTCACCCCAGGGCCGCAGCCCCCGGCAGTCTAGCTCTGTGGCCCTGGAGTTTCTGAAGGCAGAATGCTGTTAAGATATTGCAAACATAGGAGGAGATAGAAGCTACTCAGTGGTGCCCACAGGAAGGGCTGTTTTATGAGCCCCATGGTAAGTTCACAGGTCAGATAACAGTGCATTCCATAAATGAATTCATTGCTTTTAGGAAAAAGCATGTATTGAGACAACTGTGCTTTTCTGAAGTGAACCACAACAGGTCTCTGGCCCCTGAAAACCTCTGGGGACTGATGCCCTTTGGAAAATACTACTGATTAACTAAATCAGTTCCCAGACACGCTGAAAGGAAGCCACTTTTATACTGCTCACTGGGAACCTGAGTTGTCTCTTTGGCCAAATGAATTGATATGTAACAAATGATAAATGTAAAAAAACTCATTAAAAACAAAAATAATAAATGTAATGGTTGCTGATACATATTATAATGAAAAATAGACATGCTTGCCAGAACATACGGGAAGCCATGATGGGCTAAAGCAGCTTTGATCTCCTTTACATCCGAGAGGACTTTGCATGGCTTAGGTGTCGCTAGTCCCTCTTGACAACAGCAGAATGTGCAGTGCAGCTTAGACTGCTGAGAGGACAATGACTGGGACGAGCCCATGGCTGCTCCCAGGCTCTGCAACCCTCTGCAGCATCTCCCAAGTTAAGACCTCTTGTCCCACAGATTGTCTTCTGCTCTGCCTCTCTTCATTAATCCTGCAGGACAGTCTGTTCTGCTGTTAAACTCCTTCGCATGATTGGCATCACCACTGATCTAGTTTAGGTTCCAGGAGGCCAGAAGGTCCTGGGTCCAGCACTCTCCCAAGCTGCACACTGGCCCCTCGGAGGGCATCCTGGTTTCTTGCCCTGCGAGCGTCTCACAGCTGGCTCCCTCCATTCATCAGGAAGAGAGCTTTAGCTCTCCTTGTGAATATTCAAGTGGTCTTCGGTGCGGTTTCCTCCAGAACCACCTTTTGCTCTTCCAACTCTGTTTCCAGAATGCTTCCAAAATATCTGGCTCATCATTCCTCATCCTTAGGCCACCACACACACACACACACACACACACACACACACACTCACACACACTCACACACACACACACACAGATTAGAGATGGTCCAATGATTCCCTTTGTCCTTAGGGGTGAAGATGAGACAAAGCCGTCCCGTAGGAGTGTCCCCTCTCTGACCTCATGCCCTGTGGCTTCGCCCCTTTTCCTTCCTGCCCTGTGGCTTCTGGTCAGCCCCTGTGGACTGAATCCTGTGGCTCATATTTTCAATTTCATTTATAGATTCTTCATCCTTGACATCTTTTCTGCCTTGAAATTTGTTTTTCCTTTACCTTGTTGACAAGCCCTTGTTTAAATTTAACTCAGTTATCGTTTCCTCTATTTTCACTCCTTTTTCCAACTGTGCTATATTGACCATATTCACATCTACCTGCATAAGAGTTTTATCAGTCAATGGGGATTAAGTTATTCGCATGTAACTTTGTAAATCTGAACTAAAATAGGCTTACTATTCATGTTTCCCAACAAAACTTCGATACGATTTTTTTACCCTTCAGTTTTTCACTTTCTAATTTCTTTTTACAAATTTTAGATTGTTAAAAATATATTTAATGACTTTTTAATATTTTAGCATAGACTCACTTTATTTTTTTTCTAATTCTTAAGGTGACTACCCTGTCTTAGTGAAATGACGCATTCTATTCCAGGTTATACATCCACACCATCAGACCCCTCTCCTCTCAGGTACTGCTCAGATTCTTTTTTTAAAATTGACACAGGGTCTCTCTGTGCAGTTCACACTCAGAGTGATCCTCCTGTCTCAGCCTCCCAGCTCTGGGACTATGACCATGGGCCTCCACGCCCACTTTCGGACCTGAATGGCACGCCCACGTCCTGGGTCAGCATGGGATGCCATACTGGGGATCGAACTCCAGACCTTGTGCTTGCCAGGCAGGCGTTTAGGATGCCAAGCTATCTCCCCAGCCCTGCTGAGATTCTTGGTGTCGTATTTATTTGTCCTAATTTTCTGGATTAAGAGATCTGTCAAACTGTGCTTGCTGTGACAGACAGAAGCCATGTCTGTCTCCTGCTCTGGTGATGAGCATTTTGCTGCAGCCAGCTCAGAACTTCAACAAATTCTTTTTGCATGACTGATTTTGCCTTCCTGGAAAATAATAACTACTCTTTTTTTTCTCTTTTCCTTGGAAATCTTCTACAATTATCAATATTCATCTGCAAAGACAAAAGGGGGAGTTGCTTCCTGCTTTCTCCCATAAGCTCAACCCATTCTCAGGCTCCCAGCTTCCCTGGGTACTTAGGTCGATTTGCTGCCTGTCGTCATCGTCGTCATCGTCCTCCTCCTCTCCTCCCCTCCTCTCCCTCCTCTTCTCCCTTCTCCTC